ATTTTTATAGTCCTCAACATAGCCTCATCATTCTCATGACCTTTTTAACTGTTACACATTTGCACTTTATAACGACAGGATACTGCTTTTAATCCCCTATCTTTAACATACTGAGGAGCCAGCTAAGACTTCGATTAAATAGCAAAGAGGTTCTTACACCACGGAGAGAGACTGAATAAGTGACATCCCTGTGACTTGCCTGTGTCTTTTGAGAACGGGAGCATCAGCTCCAGGATGCCAGGGCTGGCAGTGAGCTCGGAGGCACGTAATGCAGCCACTGCCCTGCCGCCCGGCACGCGCTCCAGACTTAGCGCACCCTGCACCTAACCTCTCTCGAACTACTGTGATCATCTGTCATGATGGAAATCAGCAAGTGCAGGTCGGTGTTTGTTTATATAAAGTGCCTGCCCTCCACCAGCCCTCTGGGTCAGTCCATTTCAACAATTTGAGATACATCGGCAATATACACTCCGAGCATAATATAGAGTCATTTTAAACACAGCTGTAATCAAGTTCTTGGGATGAGGAAATCGGGTGGCTCCGGAAAAGTGCTTACGACTTAAGGCAGTTTCCTCTGATTCTTGAAAGCTTTTTTTGAATAAGCTTGGAGTTTGGAACAGGAGATTGTACCACGGGCTGTAGGATCCCAAAAGGCTGTTTGATATAGTAGCCAAAGCAGTATGCCCAGGGCCTGTTTCAGGTGTGTCCTCCCACTAAACTGTTCCTCGTGCCGGTGAAAAGCCTGGACAAACGAGATGGGAAGCCATCAGTGCTTAGCCCAGATCCACACTTGTCTTAGCTCATGTGGTCAGAGCCGTACAAAGTGGGAGAATCCTCTATCTGAATGGGCGTTCACTGACTCTCCTGACTGGCAGCTCTGAATCCAGGTGTGATTTCCTCACAGCAGACTTTCCCCCAGCTCACACAGACATGATAGTATTTTCTATCCACACAGAGCAACCACCTCATCCCACACAGCCACGCCTGCCCTCCGAAGCAGTGTACTGTTTAAAGGGGCGCAGTGGGGCATGAAATCTAAGGAGGAAATGCTGAAACTCTGGGGAGCATTTAGGTAGGTACAGTGTGATCACTGAAGTTGAAATCTGTCCAGACCATTGAGTTCACCACTAATGCTATGAAAATGAAAGCCATGGGCCCATTAAATAACTTCATTCTACATGAACCTATTAATATTGCCTAAATCATTCAAAAATCCTATGTGCCATTTATCACGGGTGATGAATCTGTGTAAACACCGAGCAGATGGCTGCCTTAATGGAGCACTATTCAAACCACAATCGTACTCCAGGATCTGAGATGGCTGTTTTTAGTCACTATGATTGACATAAGCACGCGTCATCAAATCGCATGTGTCATCAAATTCACATGGGAAACGGAGCTTTGGGGCAAGGTGAGAGAAAATTGCCCTGCATATATTCACTAGCAATTAATCCTGAAATATGCATGATGAAACTGAGACAGCAAATGATTTAGAAAAAGGCAAACTATTTCAACAATGTCCTTGGTAGCCTTTCCATAGAGAAGGAGAAAAGGCAACAGACGACAGAGGTGTCCCAGCAAGTGACCCCTTTCTTGCTGCAGGCTCCTCTCTGGCCCTTGACAGGAGCACCAGTTGGCCTGCCACATATACTCAGACATTTCCCCCAAGTTCAAGTTGGGAACAGACTTCATCTCACCCCACTCTGAAAGTGGCAAAGGGACAGGTATAAGTACAAGCGTGTGGTATGTCTAGCGTGCGTATGAATGTGTACTAGCACTTCCAGATTCTGTCCTGTACTGAGAAAATGTCAGAAACTTGATGGCAAAAGAAAGGCTTCCCGCCTCATCAGATGGTTTCACTGGATGGCACCGCCACTGCTGTGAACCTGTTTACAAAGGGGAAAGGCACAATACCACAGTGATTTGGAAGACATTTGGAGCAGGCTTAAGCATAGCTAAGCTGTCCCAGAAATTCAGGTGTAATGCTTGTCTCTCAGACCCGTGACCAGGGCACACTGCCCAATAAAGGCTGGACTACCTCACCAGTCCAGGGTCCAGGGCTGGGCGAGGTGATGATGCAGGCAAATCACATGGTAGGGGGCAGCTGCAGGCAGGTGAGGTGTTCGGAGTGCTAGTCTGCAAAGAAACCAATGCCAGTTCCAAAGTGTATCATTTCAAAATCTTCATCTATGCATGTTTTAGTAAGAAGTACCCACAAGATGAGGCAGGTTAAAGAAAGAAACAACAAATGGTAACTCAGTTTTAACATTTTATTGGGTAAATGATTTTAAAGGTAATAACAATAGTGTCAAAACTACTGCAATATCTTTCCACAGCCATACCTACCAGACCCACGTAAACCTTCTCATTTTTCTTTTTGCTCATTTTTTAGTATTTTAAAGCCATACACATCATATAAAATGCCCATTTCCAATAGTTTCATCAAACTATTAAGCAACGAATGTGGAAGAAGGATCTAGGTATACTTGAAGGGGTTTCAGGTAATCTGTGATGTCGTGCTGTATTCAAAAACAGGTTCCTAGGAAAGAAGGAAAAGCTACTCCAGGTAGCTTTTGCTCAGTACAAGTCTCACCGCGGCATCACCAAAAATTCATTATGCTGGTGACCAATTCAAAGTGATTTCGGGGAACATATAAAACACTAAAATAACTTAGAAACTACATCCAAATATTTCAAAAGTAATCAACTTTGATATACAAAAACAGTCAGAGGTGGTTACAAAAGTGTTTTCTCAGTGCGTCTATGTACCAGCGCAGTTACTGGGTCTAGAGCAAAATAAAAGGTTTATTTTCTTCTGAAACAGTAATAAAAAACAAGGAAAACATATCTTTGTATATAAAGGATAAATGCTGGTCTTAAGAATAATGTAATCAGAAACCCTTAAATCGAGAGGCACACAATGGGTTTCCGCTTTTAAAAAATAAAAGGAAAGTCACCAGTTTATTTAAATGGAGGAGGTGCTCCCACCCCCAAATAAACTTAATTCAATTTAACATCACTAGCAAAAATCACTTAGAAACTGTACAAAAATAAAAAAGTTAACACATTTAATCCTGCAAGGTTTTTGTAAGGACTGGAAGGCAGGCTCTTGGAGCAGCATTTGGGCATGGCTGGGGGCTTCTTTGGTTTGATCTAACACACATTAAGAGATGGAACCTATTTCAGGTGACAGTTTCAAATTTCCTGCACATTTGAAGACATAAAAAGAGGCCAGTATACAAATTCCCGGTGTGCTGGGCATTGGAACTGTACGCATGGGACTGAAAGTCTTACAACTGCTTTAAGTGGGGTGGGGGGAAAGAGCAAGCCTTGCACTTTTTCCATCAATTACACCGACCTCTCGTGGTAAAGGGGACTGGAAAGAGTAGTAGCACATTCTCGTGCAGTCAGAAGGCCACTTAATAAAGGGGGGGGGGGCAAATGCTCTTTTAGAATCTGGTACCTGGCTGACCTTGTTTAAGAACAAGAAAACCCTTCCAGAAATGGAAGCCTTTTGCTACATATCAAAGTAAAATGCGTACTGTTTTCCAAGAGGAAAAATACCCAGTTGCATTTGAAAATGGAAAACATAAATGGGACTAATTAACATTTAAAAGAGGGGCTATGTAAACTTTGTGCTACTCAAATGAAGTTCAAGTATTACTTCTGAGCTGTTTAAAGATCACTGAACTTATACAATATACTGGTGATGAGTGCAATTCACATTTGTGTTTCTGAACAAATAAACCACAACTGGCTAGAACACAACCTGTGCAATTAGAATCTTTGTCGGAGTTAAAAACACATGCTACATATTTCAACATGTTCAAAGGTAATTCGAACCACATATTTAACATTTTGTAATATACGACAAAGGTGAGGGTCTAGCATTTGTTTGAAGCACGCCGTTACAGTTTGTAGAACACCCTTTACACTACAAAATTTTAGTCAACAGCTACTTAGAGACAAAAATGCACTGTGCATTAATTTGAATACAAAAGGAGACAAAACTATCCTTTTCCCCCAAGCCATGGTGGGAAATATTGCTGACCTCGTCCTCTGAAGCCTGCAGGATGGTTATTTCTTCAGTATAACATTATTACACTGGTAAGAAAATCTGTATAACATCTGCATATATCAAGAAATTTTAAAAATCTGATATGATTTTAGAGTCCGCATGACCAGTCACGTGACCTGCTCAAGATTGATTAGCACCGTTAAATACATAAACACACATATGTATGTATGTATGTGTAAGTATATGTATACACACATATGTATGCAATAGATCTTTAGAAAAAACTCCTAACCATGAGCTCAACCAGGACGAGGAGCCTGTTGAACTGATGAGATGATGGATAAGATGGATCAATATTGGTCTATTTTGTCTCTCCTGTTTGTTTTACTTTTTTTTGCAGCAGACAATATCACTCAGCTTGTGCTGTTTCCCTATAAGGGCAAGAAAAAGTTACCATCAGGTAGCCACTTGTTTTTATACTGAAAGACTAATCTGCTCCAAAATGCTCCCAAGTAGAAATGAAAGGACTCAAAATCCCTTTCTAAAACCCAACAGCTAGCATTGTCTGACTAATCTCTAGGTTCAATGGAACTGGCTACCGAGATTGCATTTCAGGCTAACAATTGGCTTCTTAGTTAAGGCATCACAACTGAAAATGGTTGTTTCAACAATGGATGCTGGGGATGAAGGAATACCAACAAACTTCTAAGAACTCTCATCAAAAACTAAAGCAGTCTGCTTTGCCACAATGGCGAGCAAAAGGAATTTAGCCAAGTATCTCACAAACTAGAAAAGGGTTTTGGAATTCTGAACTAGCAGTCTGTCACTTGTCACAGCAACAGTATCTATAAGATATGCCATTTGATATTCAGTGACATATCATACTTTTAAACTATATGTTCTGCACCATACTTATATTCATCACTTGACATATTGGTTTGTTTTCAAAAAAAATTTATATACACACATGCACGCGCGCGCACACACACACCCACACCCACACCCATACCCACACACATATTTACTGCCATAAACTGACGGTAATCTTTCTCCAAAATCCTCTGTCATTTCTCCTGGGTATATACATACAGACCTCCTACTGACACTAGAAAGTTCTCTTTGAATGCATCATGGGAAGCCTAGCCCTGCAATGATCTCGGCACTAACAACTACATCATATCTCAATGCCAACTCCATTTTTACAGGTGTAACATAATATCAACGTAGTAAATGTGTTTCTATCAAAAGTACGTAGTGCAGAAAGAGATTCAAGCTATTTTATAGTATTTCTAAAACTCCAGTATTGTCCCCATTGCAAACATCTGAAATCATGGCATATATGAACTTTTGTTTCACTAGATTATCTTTACCATTTCTTTACATGGTAGCTGAAATTGTCTCCGGCCAATTATGACTTACTGAAACCTAAAGCTAACAAGTTTAAATTAATGCACAATAGATACATGTCTCTTTTTGGTTATTTGCTCAAAATAATTTTTTTTCAGCTTAAAAAATACTTAAGAGAAAGGAATTTGTCTAGTCTGTTGTTTCACAATATAGAAACAATAAGATTTTATAAGAATATTTCTCTAAATTGCCTTTTTTTTAACCCCTCTTAATTCCACTTAATTATATTCTTCTCAAAGGCACTAAATTCTGTATCTGCTTTCTTCCTGATATTTGCTGCTTTTCAAAATGATTCATATACCATATTTGAAAGGTAGCTTGTACTTTCTTAAAACAGTGTTTTAGCTTGTAAATTGGTTCTATAAAGTGATGAGGCAGAGTCTGACCTATGATAACCAGCACAACGACATAAATGATTTCTTACTCTCTGTGACAAGCCCTGTCATGAACCTTCAAATGTTTTATACTAGAACTAAAGTTCATATATTTTAACCATGGTAAAAACATATACTTAAGGAGTGAAGACCCACATACTAAGCTCTCATAGCAAAAGTAATTTTTGACAAATTCAAGAGTAACATACAAATACCTGAATTTCATATGAATTACTCCCAAACTCAGCAATGAAAAATTATCTTACTAAGGAAAACTAAAGAAAAACCAAAGAAAAATCCTGAAAAACTGCACAATTTCTTCCATCCACAGTCAAAAAAAAAAGAAAAGAAAAAAAAAGAAGAAAAGAAAAGAAAGAAAGGAAGAAAGAAAGAAAGAAAGAAAGAAAGAAAGAAAGAAAGAAAGAAAGAAAGAAAGAAAGAAAGAAACTAAAGGAAGAGAGGCAATAAAGAAGAGAGGCAAGGAAGGCAAGATGAACAGAAAGATAGAAATCTGATTGGCATAGCAAAGCAAACCTCTATATAATATTGTAATGAAAGAAACGCCCCAAAGTGATATATGCTGCAAAAAAAAAAAAAAAAATCAATGCTCTAAAATAATAAAACTTGATCTTCTTAACAAATGCCATTTTCCTACCCGTTACCATGATGATCTTAATCGACTATGTCGAAGTTTCACCATGGCAACGGAAACTATCATCATAAAATGGTACAGTAAAAGAGATAGCTAGACCAAGAAGGGGTAGGGTCTCCTGGGAAGAGGTCTGCAGAGAGGCCCAGTGACTGGTTGTGCGGCTCAGTGTCAGGAATAATGGTTGTATGGTGGAAGGGGATGCCCAATGCCATTTTGGAAATGATGATGCTGGCGATGAGCAAGGTATTCAGCATAGCTCAGGGTCATCTTTTCACTACGATACCTGAAAGAAAGTCAGGGGAGAGACAAAGTTAACATCAAGGAACAGGTGACATGACAGCGTCAGAGCTAGGAGGGACCTTGGAGATAATTTTATAGGTCACCCTGCCATGGACCTATAAAGTGCTCTTTCAGAAGACCACTCCCCCTGCTGCCAGCATCTTCATTATGGTACTGCTCAGCACTCTCTTTGTGAAGCTCTCTTGTGCCGTGGGTTCTGCAGCTCCACATACCACGGGTTCTTTCCCTGCCTCTCAGATTGCTCCTTATGGCTACTCACCCTACTCCTGCCTTGTAGGATTTTACTACGTTTCTACCTTCAGGTTTTTTGACCCTATGCTCTGTCCCTGCCCGATGAACCCTATCCTGATAGCTTCAGTGATGTCCTCTTTACAGATGATCCCAAATCACCATCTCTGCCCATGAGCTCTACACACACACATTCAGTAACATACTGGACACTAAAATACAGCTATCCCAGAACACACCTGAAATCCAGAATCAATGCCTAAATGTGATTCTCCTCCTGTGGGTCCTCTCTTGGTCCCTTTTATCTAGAGTAAAGCCTTGATTTGTTCTTCCTTCCTACTTCTGAAAGATGACTAAGTCCGTTCACAATATTTTCTTATCTGTTCCCTTCTTTCTTCCCATCTGACCGCCATGGCTCTTGTTAAGGTGCCCATTTCGCCCCCTTTGGATTGCTGCCAGACATTCTTAGATAATAGCAAAGTCTTATAACTCATTTTCTACTTCCAGTTCGAATTTTACACCTCCCCAAATCCATCTGTCTTTAAAACCCTGCAGCGGCTACCAACTGCCTATAGAATCAGGTCTAAACTTCTGAGTCTGGAACTCAAAAGCCTTATGATCTGATCCAACCTACCTTCTTTGCCATAAGCTCCCCTAATAACCACCTTCTGTATGTACACTGAAAGACCGGCCAAATTGCACTATTGAACATTCCTCAGAACTTGCTTGGTATTGGTTTTAAGCCACCTACATGCACTGACTCACAAAGTTTTCTTTTAAGTACTCCTTTTCCTCCCCCACACTCTGCCTGTCAAATATTGCACCTATTTTTTTTAAGTCTAGGTTCTAATCTACTTCCTCTTTGAAATTTTCTGTCACCCCCCAACCCTCCTAGAGTTCCTCTTCCCCTACTTTATGAACTCACATCAGCCATCACATTCTGTCTTATATTAATAATCACTTTTGTACATGCCCTTCTATCAGATGGTGAACTAAGGGAGAGCAGAGATGGAGGCATTTTCCAATTTGTAACTCCTCAGAGCTGAAAAAGAGTCCATTTTTTAGACAATAGGCACTTGATGTGGTTTTACGGAATTAAAATAAATGGAAATCACAACCCATTTCCCTAAAATGTTTGATATTTTCCTTTCAAAATAAGTATCCCTATTATCCCATGCAGAAGTTTATTTAGCATTTGTGAGTCTAACCTAATTGTATATTTCAACAAGCTTTCATGGGAAACTTCGATTGCTGCCAAAATTCTAAGGTTAAATTCAAATTTGAGGACTGCTTATCAGAATCCTGGGGTTCTGCTAAGCCATGTCAAAAGCTAGACAACAGCTAATTCAGGTAACTTTCTTCAACAATGTAGTCTAAAGGCCCAGAGAATTTGCTTGTATAAAGCCAGAATAATAACACAGAGCTAAAGATGGGAAGGATGGGCTCATACATTGTACAGGTTTTACTGCCAAGCAGAGTTCCATTGTATCCACCCTCAGTATGGCCCTGCTATGCATTTCCACTCTGTTTCAGAAAAGAGAATCAAGTATAGTTAGGCCAAAAAAAAACAAAAAACAACAACACACATCAAAGGTTTATAGGCACACGTATCAAAATGCACTGGTCATCCTTGCACTAGAAAATGCCTTCTGTACCTGGTCAGTTTTATGGTTTTCCTAAATTCATTAGTAATCGGAGCTTTGTATCCTCCTTTCCTCAGTAAGGAGTCTATGGTCTGAATATGGTCCCATCCTGCGGAGAGTAGATCAGATAAAATACAGTCAAGCACATGTATAAAGCACCTCTGGTTAAATACAAAATGACTTTCGAGAGAGGTATGCTATCACTGTCACCAAATGCCATCAATTCCTTTGGTCCTAAAAGTCACACAGAAGGGCTAAGATTTCATTCTGTACAGAAGCAGGTTCACCACTGCACACCTTAAATTGTAGCTATCCACAATGGCTAACAACAATGGCTTCTTTATCTCAACTACATTTGAAGGCCAGGAGGCTGGCAGTAATTGCTCAGTCACGTCTCAGTAACAAACCGCAAACCTTGTACTCTCCTCTAAGAGTGACATCTTTAAAAGGGAGGGAGAAGTCTAAATATCATTGTGCCGACTCAGTAGTCTTTAGGATTCCCACATAGTAACTGCTGTTCCTAAAGGTATCTTTTGCTGTCAGTCAAGTGTATTTGGGCACATTTAAGGGCATTTTTAGTGGTTCTGACATGGGATGGTATACTAATGTCCAAGGCCCTCTGTTACATACGTATGCTTTACGAAGTCAATGGAACTGCAGGACTAAGACATTTTTTAAAGCAACTCAAACACATTTTCAGATAGCTGCCTTAAAAATTAACTCTCTGGTTTGGGGGTTTTGCTGTTATGTATCTCACATATTTATGAGGTAAACATGGGAAAACCAAATTACAAATACTTTCTGATGAGAAAAAAAGCTCCATAAAGTACAGAATATTCATTTCGACTAACATGAAACTAGAATTTCGTAGTGGCTAGAAAGGACAAAATACTACAGAGTGGAAAGTTATTTTGTATTACACTGGTGGTTCATAAAGGTTTGGGGTTTACTTGTGCAATAGAAAAGTGTTTGTTGATTAGGGAGTACAGACCAAATATATAAAACACTACTTCATGTATTCTCAATGTTCCTAACCTTAATGGGAAACCTACAATCTTAAAAGTGGCGGGATGAGTAATGACAACCACCTAAGAATGAAATGTTTCATACTGACAATGAACTGTGTGGCTGACTGTCAAACAAAAGGCTTGCTCATATCATCCAAGGTTACAGCACACAATGGAACATGGGAAAATGGCTCTTCAAATCTGTAGTGAACTATTGCCTAAAATAACATCCAGCTTTTTACAAATCTTGGCTTTTTGGAAAGTATACGTTGGTCTGTTTTTGCTGTCAAACTTTAGTGAAGGGATTCAGCTTCTGTGTAATCCACCGATTTCATACAGACATTGCAGTGGCAGTGACGGAAGAGTCATTTCTTATCATCTGACATCGATCAATTATCAGACATAACTGCAAGGTCAGATATTGCATTTCAATTTGTATATTTGTTTAAATTCTTCACCAGATCATATGAAATAAAGTACAACAATGACCTTGCTCCTTTGCAACCTCCGGTAGGTAGGTGGCGGTGCGTTTTGATCCTTTTTCATTGATGAATTCTATTCTAATGCCATGAACACCCACCTGAAAGAAATTGGCAGTTTTATTAGTACAGTCTTCTTCATAGAAACAGAAAGAAAAAATTATAATTTAACTTTCAGTAGAATGCAGTTATTCCCTTTCCCCTTGTTTTTTGGAAGGGCACATCAGTTTTCTGTTTCCACAATACTGACTTTGGGTTTAAAAGCCATTATGATGGCCATGGAGGCTGAAAACATTGACTCGTACATGCCAAACATGCACCAGGCTATGCTATTCTGTGTGGAACCAGAGCAACCATTCTGGTGCTGTGTGTAGAATAAGACATACATAACCTTAAATTTTATGTAGATAAGCAACACAGATCAGATTGAAAAAACCACCACCACCAGATCCTACCTCATCAATCATTGCATATACTTTTTCTTAAAAAAAAAAAAAAAGTATTATGGCTTCAAGTAGACCAGTGGCAAACCCTCACTGTCTTATCTGCATCACTGCCCTCACACGCTACTGCTAAACTGAAGAGCAATCAAGGTTTCTAGTGCTTAGAGCAGGGCATTTTTGCAGTTTCTTATATAACTTTTTTTTTTTATGTGAAACAGACAAATTTTTGGCGATGCCCTATAAAAGATGGTCTTCTAAGTTGGTGTGGGCAATTACTCGCTAACGTTTTTAAAAAGTAATGTACTTTTTCCTTGATTAGTACCCAATCAAAAGGATCTGTCCTTTCTCCATGTATCTTACATATAATAGTGTATCTAGAGCAGAAGATCATAAAAAGGGCAGTGTTTATAAAGACTGATAATACAAACGAAATTTCAAAAGCTTAACAATTCCATTCTGTTCTTCCAGATCTATGGTTGCTTTAGATCAATGGTTCTCAAGTGCAGTGTAAGGTCGTCCACGGTACTAGAGGGAAGGTGTAAGGGCAGGTAAATCTTTTTACCCAGGGAAGAGGCTTCCTTTTAGAGCAGATGACTGAAGCCAGACCTTTACTCTTTCTGTATGCATGCTTGTGAAAGGTCTAGAAGAGGAAAGGAGATCCATAAAAACTTCTTTTGCTTCTTCAGCCCATTGGCTGAAAACTTCCAGTTTGCCAGGGAATAAGGAAGTCCTCTGGAAAATGTTTCATTTCTCCCCCAGGTCTTAATCCACCCATCCATGACAGTCTGTCAGATCTTCTGAGGGGTTTCTCTTTTGGGGTCAAGCCTATCTCTTCTATCTATTTGGCTATGTCTTCTATCTGTTTAATGCCAGTATTTTCATGAATCTCCTGTTGCTGAAGATGCAATCAGGGCAGCTGTTTAAAAACTAACAAAATCAGGTCTCCCTGGTTGACTGTGGGGAATGACTGTGGACAGCTGAGAGGAAATATGAGTGCTAAGCTATCAGGCATTTCCAGGATGAAGGACATCTACTAACCTCCCCAGTGCCTGACACAGTACTGAGACAGTAACAAATTTGCAATAGTTTCTGTATACCGACTTTCTGGTCAGTGAAAGTCTTTGAAATCTTCCCTTTAACATTATCACATCCTTCATAATTTGTTTTTAAAAATATCCAGCATAAATAATTTCTGCTCCCATCATTCACTGCAGTGAAGTTTGCATTTCCAACTCAATTTATAAAAATCTATCGTGTGAATATTGAAAAAGAATTTTGGCACTTTCTAATGACGGTTTCTAATGAAACTTGTGAGAGGAAAAATGTTTCCCTATCCACAGGTTGAGAGTGTTAGACTAAGTCAGCAGTGTTTACCTGATATAGGATGGGAATGGGGGAGGGGGCTGCAAAGTTTATCAGAATTTTAGGTGGTTTCATGTTTCAGCAAGTATAGTTTGAAAAAAAGAAAACTCGCCACTGATTTTTACTCTAGGTTAACTAGATAGCCTCTACCGATCAGCTGAGCTCTGACAAACTGTAGCTGTGTATTGAAAAAAAGTGATTTAGGCAAACTGCAGGTGATTTAGAATCATAAACCCTTTCTTCAACAAAAATTTCAGAGATTTTAAAGCCTAGTAATTTAACAATTAAAAGTTTAAGACCAATTGTATGCTTTGTGAATAATATCTCAATAAAACCAAACTGGAAAGACATGTTAACCAAAATAGAAATGGGCTTATTCACAAATAAAATTTGAGTCACTATTGTATTTTGAGAAGGCCCCCAACATCAAATTTGATATTAAAAAAAAAAATCAGTTCTCCCATTTTGAATTAGTGCCATATTTACAATTGTAAATTATTTTCTGTGTTCATTCCTATGATTCTGAACAACTGAATGCTCCTGTAAATTGAACTGTAAGTATGGTGATTTTATTGCACAAGTCAAAAATATATTCTGCAAAGACATAAAGCCCAAACCAGAGTGACTGCTTTTTTTCAAATAGGGGAATCGGGACAATGGTAATAATGTTCTAAACCAAATCAAAGCATAATAGCTCTTTGTCACCTGTTGAGCAACAGCATTTTCCTTACTCCTAGGACACAGACGCCACCAAATAGTCATACTGTGCAATCAAGACAGGAGGGTGGAAAATGACCTGCTATGGAGACCGACCAAATCTGGCCAGCCCGTGGAAATCACGGGCTTTGCAAATTTAGTCATCTCCACTGAAATGAGTACCAAAACTAATCCTCTATTTTTTGAGGGAGGCATCTGTCACAGCTGCAACTCCAAAGTATAACACTTATGTGTAATAACTGAATCCTCCCTTAGACAGATTGGAAGACCCTTCAGCCCAGCAGCGTCCCAAGAGGCAAAGGCTATAGTTGTAATTATCAGCTGGGTAAGAGATCGACTAACTAGGGAACTGGGATTCCCTGAAGCAAACTTGGTCTAAAACTCTTAACACAGTAACTTTCCATTTCTCAGGATGGATGAGGAGGTTGCTTATGGGAAAACTACATCACCGAACATATCCCCAACAACCGCTGCCCGAAGGATAGCCAGGTGGGCAAAAACTGGAGACCTGCAAATCTCGTCTTCCCAGAGTCTGCGGTCATTTTCAAAATTATTAGAAGGTCTGAGAGAAAAATGCTTTCAAGGTCCATCAGCTGTGATAATATCCCTTTAATCAAGACTATACTTTTGCTAAGCAAAGCTATAAATCAACTAGAATGGTGGTAAATTAAATGTAGGACTTATAGATAAGAGGATATGGAATGAAACACAGCTGTATCTGGGTGCGCTGAGGGAACATTAAGACCAGTTCAATAGACTTGTCTTTCATATTAAAAAGAAAGCCATATTTATTCCAAACCATTCCATACCAAATTTTTTTAAATTAATGCTATTATACAGTCTTTTGTTTTTAACATTGCCCAGAATGATTAAATGTCAAGATTAATGTTAGGACCCTAAAATCTATGTTGATTATTCTGGGGTTGATTCTGCAGTCGGGGGATTATGCATCCACAGCTCCACCTGGCCTCAGCTCCATCCCCTTTCCTCTCTTGTCCATTTCTCTGTTTATTCACTCCTGTATCAGAGAGCATGTTGGCACAGAGAGAAGAGATACATGCAAATTAATCAATTTTGCTTCACAATAAAAGGTTTGGTAGGAGAAGAGATTATATAAATAATGGCTAAGATGAAGCTTCAGACTGTCCGCAGATTTCATTTATCCTCGTTATCTGGTCCCTTGTTAGAAATGTGACTTCATTTAAATCTATTATCCTCTAATGCAGTGACTCTCAACACAGGAGCATTAAAAAACTGCCCTCCTCCCACATCATCATAATACAAAATAATACAATATTATCCTCCTCACAATTGCACAAAGTTTAATATACCCTAGTCTGTCTATAAGGCAAGTCTTACTCCTATAATCTACTAGCAGCACTACCAAAGCGTATCAGAGTTACCTGGGAGCCTAATCAGCACCCAACAATCTGGATATACTGAAACCTGAAATAAGAGTTATCTGTCTACAAGTGTCAATAACTATAAAATCAGTTCTGGCAAATTCGAATAGGCTCTGCCCAAACCTTGGACCATTTGGTTCCACAATTACCTCCACAGACCTGACCCGCAAAGCTAAATATGCCCCTGCTCACATCCTGGCCAACAGAAATAATTTACTTCCTCAGGGTCATCACGTCTTAGCAAACGCCATAGGTAGTCCCACTCCTCCCCATTTTCAGAACCAAATGTTGGGTTTTCCTGTAACAATATGGCCATAGCTTATGCCACTGATTTTCAGTGAGTTCACCTTAAAAAACATAAAAAAAAATATATACCAGGAGGGAGAAGAATAAAAAGTTGTTTGAAATGTCTGTTGATAATATCATTTGGAAAAATGTGCTTTGCAACTAACAAAGCAGTCACTGGTCATTCACATAAGACTGGCCTGCTAAGCTCAATATACCAGTTCCACTGGATTGAATGAAAGGACTCTATTTCTAATGAGAGTAGCTCAGGATATTTGACACACTCCCTAACATTTAGAGGCTGGCATCAGAGAAGACATACATGCGTTCCCACAAAACAGCCCATGGTACCACGGACAGAAAAAAAAACCCCAAAAACCCCACCAAAACAAATCATTGCACTGAACAGCCCATGGGTCGCACCCAGAGTCTGACATTTCTTAATATTCTTAGGAGGAAAAAGCTGTATGTGGCATTTCTCCTAGAAGCACAAAAACCACAGTGCAGCATGGTCCACTCTTTCACTCAGAGCTGCACAGTACCTTCTGCCCCATTCCCAGCTCAGCCTTCTGAAGACAGTGACTCGTCCTTTTTGCAATGAAAGCAAATTCAACATAGAGGAGGAAAATATTCCAAACGTGGGCCTACTCCAAGTTTATCCTCCTGCATAATTTTCATGTGGGCAAGACAAATTAAGATTTGAATCATAAAGGCTGATGACAGTTTGTGCAGATTATAATGAATCACTTTCCCCAATTCTGATACTACTAAAAAAATAAAAAGTAGACTACATATTGGCCATATCTGCCCATCAAATCCTCAAAGTTGTGATTTCTGCATTGCTTGAATCCACCTACCAATTTCAGAAGTCAGTCTGACGTTTTGAAGATG